AGCAAAGACTTGGAACCAACCCAAATGCCCATCAATGATAGACTGGATAAAGAAAATGTGGCACATATACACCATGGAATACTATGCAGCCATGAAAAAGAATGAGTTCATGTCCTTTGCAGGGCATGTGTGTAGCTGGAAACCATCATTCTCAGCAAATTAACACAGAAACAGAAAACCAAGCACTACATATTCTCACTCATAAGTAGGAGTTGAATAATGAGAACACATGAACACATGGAGGGGAACATTACACACTGGGGCCTGTTGTGGGAATGGGGACAAGGGGAGGAATAGCATTAAGAGAAATACCTAATGTAGATGATGGGTTGATGGGTGCAGCAAACCAACACTGCACATGTATACCTAGGTAGCAAACCTGTATGTTCTGCACATGTATCCCAAAACTTATTAAAACTGAGAATAACCCCTGTATTTACCACTGTTTAGCTTTGTGAGTTTGAACACATGGAAGGTATTATTTTACTTAATGCTCAGAGATATATTTACTCAATATTTTATTTGACTATAAAGATATTTATTTTACTAAAATATTATATTTTAGTAAATATGGCACATATACACCTCCCTGTGTTCATGTGTTCTCATTATTCAACTCCCACTTATGAGTGGGAATACGTGGTGTTTGGTTTTCTTTTCCTGTGTTAATTCGCTGAGAATGATGGTTTCCAGCTCCATACATGTCTCTGCAAAGGACATGAACTCATTCTTTTTCATGGCTGCATAGTATTCCATGGTGTATATGTACCACATAGTAAAGCTTGTGCTACATGGAGACAATCTAATTCTGGAGAGGTCTATGTGCAAGGTCACATAGAATCCTTCCACTCTGCTTTACCTCCATGAAGATTTATTTATTTATTTATAGACAGGGTTTCACTCTGTTGCCCAGGCTGGAGTGCAGTGGTGCCATTATGACTTACTGCAGTTTCCAACTCCTGGCCTCAAGTGACCCTCCCAACTCAACCTCCCATGTAGCTGGCTATAGGCTTGCCCCACCACACCTGGCTAATTTTTGTATTTTTTTAGACACAAGATCTTGCTATGTTGCTCTGGCTGACCTTGAGCTCCTGGGCTCAAGTGATCCTCCCGCCTCAGCCTCCCTAAGTTCTGGAATTACAGGCATGAGTCACTATGCCTGACTTTCCATGAAGTTTTAGATCTCATGTCAAGAGCGTGATTAGACCAGAATTACGATCTAGAACTGAGAATTTTAAACTTACCTTAGGCCATTTAGTGAAGTCGTGTTTTTTGAAAATTGCTGCAAATAAAGAACACACACAGTAAGTTAAAGGAAGTAGTTCTCCATGGGATATCATATCACCTATTGAAGTCACTGACTGAATAACGTAATTTCTCATTTACAAAAATGTATACAAAATAATTTTAATAACAATAGAATTTGCAGTAACATTCCTTTTTAAATTACTTTATCCATTTATTCTTTCTTTTTCACAGTCTTGATTTTATTTATAAATTTGCTGTATCAGTAAGGAAAGAGTAAAAACTGTTTGAGGTTGTATATATAACTTACAAATAATTTTATTTATTTATTTTCACTTTTGTTGGCTTTAGCTTCCTCTTCACTGCAATTGGGTTAATTACATGCATTTTTAAAATTTAGAAAATAAATATGATATAGTAAGTAATATATCAGGCCAGTTCCTACCAAGATGCCGAATTAAAGTGGACACAGGGATGATAAGAAAACTGAGGGAGTTTGCTGACTTTCAGGATACTGACTTTATGGGGTGCTTGTATGAGGGTTGCTGGTGTTGCCTGGGATAGAGGGTTACTAGCTGCCCGTGGGAAAATGAAATAAGAAAGTACTTATTGTATTTTGGTCTTACTTATCTGTCACTGTTAAGTGATATTTAAAATATAGTTAGAATTTTCAAAAGTTAAAAGGAAAATTCTGCATGATATTTAGAAATCTTCCCACAAAGAAAAGACTACCAACCTTTTGAGGAATAGGTCTTGCTGATTACATGTACACTCTTTCAGAGAGCAAAAAAGATAGAATGCTTTTATCTACTTCTGAGAGGTCAGAATATTTTTACGACAAAGGTAACTGGATATAGTTACAAGAAAAAAAAATAAAGGTCTTCATCTAGTAAAAATGAAACAAAATTACATGTATATACTGCACATCATGCATAAGAATTAATTCCAAATGAATCAGGATCTAAACATAAAAAATAAAACTATGTAATAATTAAAATGACAATTTTTTAATCATAATGATTCATTAATCTAAATACAATAACAGAAAACACAGATGCATTTTTTTACTTAAAAATTAAAACAACTTCCTGGCAAAAAATAAACATATACAATCTAAAAAGATTTTTGATAAAGGGCTAATATGTCTAATTTATAAAGAACTCATAAAATTGAGGGAAGAATAAAACAAGAAACCTAACTGAAGAACAGACAATATACATGCAAATATAATTTACACAAGTATACATACTCAAAAAGATACAGAAATGACCCTTGAATCTCTAAAGGAAATTCAGCCTTACTCATGCTAAGAAAAATGCTAATTAAAACTATATGGAAATACCATTTATCACCGATCAGATTAGCTGTTGAGAAAGAGGTTCCTGGTGGGAATCCAAATGGGAAGAATGTTTATGAAGTAAAATTTGACAATATTGAACAAAACTCTATTTGCATTTACAGAATTCTTATTCCATGCTTTTGCAAAATGTGAGCCTACAAATTAGAATTCAATGTATAAATGACTCTTTTGTCTTCAGAGTAAGAGTATATAGTTCAGCTAATAGACTCAAAGATAAGTTGAGTTAGTTCCATTCCTCCCATTTTGGTGTAAACATATTTTTCTTTTAAAATATGGCTTACTTAATTTGTTAAAGACAGACCTGAAGTTTCGGTACTTGTGATTTCTGGTGTGGATCCTGAGAACAGGAAGTATTGGCATCCTAAAGGTCTGACATTTGCATAACAGATTGGCATAAAGATAAAAAATAGATCAGTGAAAAGGATAGAGTCCAGAAATATAGGCATCTAAGAAGTTCAAAAATACACACTTCTGTGGACAAGTGCTTTTTGGCAAAGGTGAAAGAACAATTTAGTGGAAAAAGAATCATCCTTTCCACAAATCACACGAAAACAACTGGGCTTCTGGAAGGAAAACAAAAAAAGAATCTCAATTTATATATTGCACTATCATCTGAAACATTTTTTATTATCTAATATTTTTTAAATTTTAGTTTTCTACTGAAAAGTTATTAGTTCATGCAGCAACTTTGGAGAACCATCTGGCATTATCTTCTAGTATAGAAAATTCACACACATTGTAGCATAGCAACTCTACTCTTAGATACATACCTAAGAGAAACTCTTGTTCATGTGCATCAAAAAACATGTGTAAGAATATTTCTACCAGCTCTGCCCTTAACATCATAAATTTGTAAGTAAACCAAATGTCCATCAACAGAAGAGTAATGAAATTAGGGTATAGTCGCACGTTGGGATATTATTCATTGGTATGATATTATTCATCGATGAAACTAAATGAACAACTGCACACATGAATATGTATAAATTTAAACAGTAGGTAGGAAAAAGCAAATCTCAAAAGATGAAAAGATTCTCTTATGTAATACTGAATTAAAAAGTCCTAATAATAGGCAGGGCGTGGTGGCTCACGCCTGTAATTCCAGCACTTTGGGAGGTTGAGGTGGGCGGATCACGAGGTCAGGAGATTGAGACCATCCTGGCTAACACGGTGAAACCCCGTCTCTACTAAAGATACAATAAAATTAGCCGGGCATGGTGGCGGGCGCCTGTAGTCCCAGCTACACGGGAGGCTGAGGCAGGAGAATGGCGTGAACCCGGGAGGCGGAGCTTGCAGTGAGATGGCACCACTGCGCTCCAGCCTGGGCGACAGAAAGAGACTC